GTTTTTCAACAATTTTTACAAATTTAAAAAAGTTTTCATTCAACATTTTCAATTCCAAAATTGGTTTGACAGTTCATTGTCCCAGAAGCTGTGTCGACGCGTCTACCAATATTCTTCTACCATGGTTATCATATACACCTAATGTCAAAACTAGATGGCAACTCTTCGAAATCGACATATCAGCTGATACTAGGGTAGAAGAATGCAGGTAGTCGCATCGACACAGCTGCTGGGACAATCAACTGTCAAACCAATTGTGGAATTAAACTTTTTGAATGAAAAATTATTCAAATTTGTATAAATTGTTAAAAAATGCATTTCATAACAACCCCCGATTGGCGTCGTATAGGAAAATATATGCAAATCTGCTTATTCTTGAAATGTATTTTAAAAAATGTTGACATATCAATGTTCTGTATTCTTCTACCATGATTTGCATGGGTTGTTTTCTACTAAAAAGTTGTAAAAACCATATTAGACAAATTGAACATATGACATCCACAGTCATATTTATTGTGATTCGTTGTCCGGATAAAGATCTGTATGTAAACGTACTATTAGCGATCAACAGGAAGATTATGAATATTTTTCTTTACAATTTTCCGCCTTTTCCTACCTTAAAATATGTTTTTGTGCAGCAAAATTATCATTTCGAAAATGCTCTTAAAATAGTCTTAGGGCGAGAGTAGATAAAAGGCTTTTTGATTGCCTTAGGTCATTGGCTGGTTTCTTCGTAGAGGAACAAAGGAGTTTTGGGTTGACTTAGTTCGATTTCGGTTCCACACTCCTTTTTTCTTACCCGAAGAATCCAGCCGGCTAAAGACAGTCGAAAAAGCCTTTTATATATTCTCATCTTCAGAGAGAAATTAATTTAAAAATCATTCTTTTATGGGAAATTTAATTTCAATATTTTCCAACTATCCATGGTAAAATTAAGGAGGTAAAATCATTTTAAATAAGCATTCCCATGTTTGCATTTTCTGTAATTTACCTTGTCAAATTTCACTGCATAGAAAGTATCTCTGAATTGTGTATTGATTGTGCAAAGAGATCATGGTATACAGGTAGACGCATCGACAAAACTGCTGGGACAGTGAAATGTCAAACCGATTTTTGATATTGAAAATTTTGAATGAAAAATTATTGAATTTTGTAAAAATTGTTCAAAAATGCATATCATAACAATCCACGAAGTGTTTCGTATAAGAAAAAAAAGTGAAAAAATCTACATATTTTGGTCAAAATATTTTTAATTTTTTGACATATCAATATTCCCCAGCGTTGATGCATCTACCTCATGGTAGAAGAATATAGGTAGACGCATCGACGCAGCTGCTGGGACAATGAACTGTCAAACCAATTTTGGAATTGAAAATGTTGAATGAAAAGTTATTAAAATTTGTAAAAATCGTTGAAAAACACACAAAATAACCTCCAAACGACGTTGTATTAGAAAACATATAAAAATCCACTTACATTTGAAAAGAAACTAAAATAATTTTGACATATCAATGCTCCCAAGCGTTGATGCATCTACCTGTATTTTTCTACCATGCATCTACCTGTATTCTTCTACCATGCAAGGGATCGAGAAAGGAAAATATCCTACAGCATGTTTACATATTATAGTTACGGTACTGATGAGTTCTCAATTCAATTGTGTAAGTGAAATCTGAAATCCAATGGAAATTAGTTAACACAGATACAATGAAATTGTCAGTGGATTTGATGCATGTAAGAATGTTACTAAAACAACATGCAACATGAAAATTCGATGAAATCCCCAATACACTCACTCAAGTTTACTTTCAAACTTATTTCCGGTATAACTGTCGAGACATATTCCTAAGGAGTACTCATGGCACAATAATAATGTGTTGCACCAATCAAACTAAATGTCAAAATTTGTTTTCCGTACTGTTTGTTTATCATTCGTAGTGTGTTTCCATTCACAATAAGTGTTTTGACAACTGAGCTAGATGATCACCTGAAGTAAAATCCAGTACCTATTGATTGCGCCAAAAGATAGTGAAGGAACAATTTCTTACAGCACGTTTACATATAATAATTACGGTGACGTATACAATTCAATTGTGAACGTCAGATTTGACGTAGATGCAATGAAATTGAGAGTGGAAATCCACTGGATATAGTACTTGTAAATATGCTTTTAGAACAAACTAAAAAAAAATTTAGTAACACTACCTTTAAAATTGCAAGTAAAAATTAGATAAAACTCATACTTTGGGAGTAATCATGGCGCATTATGTGTGTCACCAATCAGTTGAAATGTCAACATTTGTTTCCGTTTTGTTGACTGTTTGTTTTTCAATCATAATAGTTGTTTTAACAACTCATCTAGATGAGCAGCTGCGGTTAATCCTGTACTTATTTTAACGTTTCCCATGAATATGTCGGATCGAAAAAATGGAATTTTCACCTATTATATATGTACTTAACTCGCTACAAGTTATTTGTATGTGTAAACGATTTGTGTAACGATTTTTAATTAAATTACTTGAGAACAAACAGGTTTTATGACAGATTGCCGTTTTGAAATTTAAAACCATTGAATCACAATTGCTTTCTTATAAAATAGTTAAGAAAAACCGTCTGTTTATATTAATAGAAACGTTAAAATAAATACAACATTAAGAAGTGTCATACGCATTTATATGTAAGATCAGTTGATTTCCTCCGAAATGTCAAAATGCATAATAATTGTGAATTAATTGTGTGAAAACGAAAAAAAATCTTTCTACAGAATGAGAATATTTCTTTCAGAACCTAGTAGAAGACGGGCTTTGATTTTACGCGTCTAATAGTTTAATAATTTTTCGAAGTGTATATTTTAGTTTAACAGTTTATAATTAATGACATTTTGAGTTTATGTAATTCATTAATTTACTTATTTTAAGACCTCACATCACCTTTACAGTTTTCCGACTTTAGTATATCCAGTGGATTTAAATTGCTAATAACATTGCATAAGTTTCAAATTACTCCTTGTAAATAAGGTTAACCGGCCAAAAAGGTCCAATGTAAACATACTATTAAGGCTAAACAGATCAGAACACTTTTGCACTTGTAGTTGACAACAGTGTTTTATTTTCACTCTTTACCCCAGAATAGAAAACAAAGGAGGAACTTCATGACGTCTGATCAATTATTACGATGCGACAGATCAATTATTACGATATTAGGTTCTAATGTGATGATGACAGATCAATTATTATGATATAAGATTCTAATGTAAACACATGCTACTATGTCAATTCTGGTCAAAACAGAATGGACGCAATAACAGCGTATCCCACGACATTTCTGAAATTAGGCCAAATACTAAGATTTAGGGAATGGATGTACTAAATCTATGGGATTTAAGTATTTAGTTACATTGCATATACACGATATGAATCCTCTTAACGTATACATTTATATCCTTATGCAAATATGCCATAATGTTTTATATAAACACTGTAATATTGAATCCCAAGAAAGTTTATTGACTACTTAAACATCTAATTTTTCATATTCAAATTTTGGAAATTCGATGTCAAGATTTCGGTTGGGCAAAACAGAATTAACGCGTTATGGCGCAATAACAACGTATTTCGCCATATTTTGGAAATTAGGCGAAATGTCAAGATTTGTGAACTGGATTTAGTAAATTTTAGGGGGTTAAATCTTAAGTTACATTGCATATACGGCACGAAAATCCTCATGAAGGATATTAATGTTAGCATTTACACCAATATGTAAACATACCTTAAGAATATTTTAATTAGTAGACTATTAAAACCTTAAGGTGAGAATACATAAAACGGTTTTTTGACTGGCTTAAGTCATCGGCTGGGTTCTTCGTATAGGTACTATGGTAGAAGAATACAGGTAGTCGTATCGACGCAGCTGCTGGGACAATGAACTGTCAAACCAATTTTGAAATTGAAAATGTTGAATGTAAAATTATTCAAAGTTATTAAAATTGTTGAAATATGCATATCGTAGCAACGATTCGTGCCGTATAAGAAAGCTTCTAAGAGCATACTTATTTTTGAATTTTTTTTTTTAAATTTTTGACATATCAATGTCCCCAAGCGTTGATTCATCTATCTGTGTTCTTTTTCCATATTATAGTAATAAAGGAGCTTTAGGTTCACTTAGATCGATTTTGGCCCTACACTTCTTTGTTCTTTTCCGAAGAAGCCAGCAGATGACTTAAGCCAGTCAAAAAGCGTTTTATGTATTTCCACCCTGAATCCTTGGATTTTTTTTTAAATATTCGATTTTTTCTCTTCACATTTTGGAAATTTGCACAAAATGTGCTGTTAAATAAATGTATTTTTTTATTTAAAATTTAAACACATTAGAATTTACATGGGCAAATGATGTATGCGACTCCTTGTGTGTCTGTGTTTTGTGAGTTTTTATTTTGTTATTGCTGTTCTTGTTTGTTGTTGTTGATGATGAATGGTTTAAATAAAAAACAAAATCAAGTTGTTTTTGGTTGTTTTTAAAGACAAAACTTAATGATCTTTATTAAATAAATTTTTGTTTAAAAATTAATTGTTAACATTGTTGTTTTTTTGTTTTGTTTTCATTTAATGGTTAAGTTTGGTTGTGGAATTATGCTTAACTACAGGGTGACTCATAATTCATGTCAAGTTTTTGTTTTCTTTTTTTTTGCTTTGTTTATCATTTTTAAAGTTTAACAATTTTGAAAAGGTTCGGCTGTTTACCACTATGCTCTGTAGGCCATAACATTATTGCATTGCATTGTTGCTGGAACTAATGATTTTGAGAGATAGATAGAGAGAGATTTACATTAGATCAAGACAAGGCTTAAATACAAACGAACAAACAAACGTTGTGGTCTGTTTCGGTCTTTTGCTATTCTTTGCTTTCAAATCCACATTTTGTGTGTTTGTTGTTGTTCTTGTTGCTGTTCTTTTAAATATGTTTTCATTTGAAAGTTGTTGTGTGTTTCTTTGTTGTTCTTGTTCTTCTTCTTGTTGTTGTTGTTTAGTTTTTATTATTATTTTTTTTGTTTATAATTAATAATTATATTTTTGCATAACACTCAAAAAATAAAAATTGTTTTTACATACATTTTTATTTGTGTGTAAAAAATGGCAGTTATTTGAATATATATTTTCCCCATTTTAACATCATCTCTATTAAGAATAACACATTCAATTACAACTCGTTTCGTTTTTTTGTTTGGAATTTATTTGCGCTTTATTTGCCTTTGTTTTTGGTTTATAGATTCCTACAACAACACAATGTGTGGGTATTTATTTGTAGCTCTTTAATTGTTTAAAAAAAAGAATTTCGATCGCAAAACGTCTGCAGGAAGTGGTGAATGTCTAAAACAGAGCCGCACGGAGATTGGCACATTTTTTGTTCTCCCATTTTCTTTTTGCTCTCTGATTACACATTTTTAAAGAGGTCTGATTGGGAGTATGCCGCTCAGAGTAGGCAAACGTGCCTCAGCAAACCTTTTCGTATGAAAAAACATTGGTGCTCGAGGTTGCATACACCCCTAAGAAATATGGTATTTTCTCCCTACGATTTGAGATATAGCCCCTTAAAAAGAGACAGAGAACTCATTTAATTGGAGCCTAACATCTTCTAAGAGAAGTTAACTCTTTTGCCATTCTTGGATTTTCTACGGAAAGTATATGTTTTACCACAACAAGATCTCTTAGTTCTTTTTATGGGATCTCATAGAAGTCTCTCTCTTCTTAAAGAGAAAATCTTATATAAATACATTGCTAAATATGTTTTTTTCTCCCCACAATTTGAGATAGAGTCCCTTAAAAGAGACTGAGTGTCTGTGATGTGCATAACTAAATTGAGATTAAGTGTTTGAGCGTAGCTGAGAATTTAACATCAACAATCTCTGACGAAAGGTGAGAGGAACGTACGTTTTTGGGCAGTTTTGCACATCTTTGAATTGGAGCCTAAGATCTTCTAAGAGAAGTTAACTCTTTTGTCAGAATATTCTTGGATCTTCAAGGGAAAGGATTTTTTTACCACAACAAGGTCTCTTGGTTATTTTATGGGATCTCACAGAAATGTCTTCCTCTCTCTCTTCTTAAAGAGAATATCTTATATAAATATATAAATAAAAATTGTAGGCTAAGATTTTTGCCCTGGCAGAAGGAACCTCTTTGAATATATATGTGTTTTGAAATTTGTATTTTGCCACTACTCACAAAATCTATGCATGTACTCTATTAAGACCATAGATGGGACAAAATTACGTTCAGAGTAGGCAAGCGTGCCTCAGCATACCTATCGGTAAAAGAATGTATTTGTGGCCGAGGTCACATGAGGTATTCCGCTACTTATAAGCACCTAAGAAATGTGTTATTTTCTCCCAACGATTTGAGATATAGCCCCTTAAAAGAGGGAGAGAGAAAGTGTATGTGAGAGGATTCATTTAAATGGAGCCTAACATCTTTTAAGAGAAGTTAACTCTTTGCAAGAATATTCTTGGATCTTCTACGGAAAGTAAACCTTTTTACCACACCAAGATCTCTTGGTTCTTTTATGGGATCTTATAGATATCTCTCGCTCTCTCTTTTGTAAGAGAAAATAATTTATAAATATACTGGTAAAAATTGTAGGGTAAGAATTTCGCCCTGGCAGAATAAATAGGGGCTTAAAAATCATATTTTTTCCATGACACACAAAATCTATGTATTTACATTTTGTGATACTCTCTTAAGGCCCACACTTACGGACTGCAGTAACAAAGAGGCATTCCCCCATTTTCCTCTATTTTTGCCCCTCTGTTGTAGAATCTTAATACCTTGAATTGCTATGAGGAGAATTCCCGGTGGCCTTCTTTAAGACAACCTCAACTGCTCCTAAAAGACGAAGCATGACGAATATGAAACGGCGTACTGGTGTTTTACGAGAAGTCAGTGATGTCGAATTGTTCAGTTGGTAGCCAAGAACACCTAAATGTAAGGATAAGAAGGCATTCCAATCTTCTTAAAGAAATTTTTTCCTCCATAGGGTTGGGTTGCGAAGCTTACTGTGTATTTTGTAAAAGACCCAGTAAAAGGCCATCTTATAACACCTATATCTTCAACTTGAAGAAATGATCTCGGCAATTATGAGTAAATCACAAAGAGTAACGTTTACTTTTCTATAACAAAAAAAAAAATTCTTAAAGGTGAGAGTACATAAAAAGCTTCTCGGACTGGCTTAAGTCATCGGCTGGCTTCTTCGTAGAAGAACAAAGGAGTTTTAGGTTGATCTAGTTCGATTTTGTACCTACGCCCCTTGTTCTTTTTCCAAGAAGCCAGCCGGTGTCAAAAAACGTATTATGTATGCTCCCCTTAAATTTTAAAGAGAAGAGTTCATTGAGCAACCAATTTAGTTTTCCAAGAGAAGAACTTCTGCTCTTATCTGAATTACTCTTTAATTTTTAGGAGACTGGTAACTCTTTGTTGTTCTTTACAAAGTGATTATTTTAAGAATACAGTTAGACTAGAAAAAGTCATTAGATTTTCCATATCAGGGTTGCCATATAATGTTAAGAGAGCTAAGAAACTCTTATCCCTTAGAAAGCTATTGTCATGAGAGACTCTCATTTTTGTACAATTTTATAAGTAGAAAAATCACAAAATGATTTCACTTAGCCTGCTCACTCTTGAAATAAGAGAGAGCGATAAAGAGAGAGCAATATCCAATTTTCTAGGGATTTCTTCCTTGGACTCAGTAAACGTTAATAGGGTTTCAAAAGAGACAAGCCTGACACAACGTTATTACTTGGCCTTCTCACACAGTGAATTAAAGAGAGCCGAATCCAGTTTTCCATTACTTTTTATTTCTCTTTGGACATTTTCCATCCTTAGGACACTTGGACTGTCCACTCTTAAAATAAGAGAGAGCGACAAAGAGAGCAATCTCCAATTTTCGATGGATTTCCTCCTTGGTCTCAGTAAACGTTAATAGGTTTTCAAAAGAGATAAGCATAACAAAATGGCCTTGGCCTTCTCACATTTTGAGTTAAAGAGATAAAGAGAGCAAAATCCAATTTTCTATGAATTTTATATTTCTCTTTGGAGGTTTTCCATACGTAGGTCACTTGGCCTGCTCATCCTTGAAATAAGAGAGAGCGATAAAGAGAGCAATATCCGATTTTCCATGGATTTCCTTCTAGGACTTCATAAACATTACTAGAGTTTCAAAAGAGACAAGCCTGACAAAATGATATTACATGGGCTTCTCACACCGTGAGTTAAAGAGATAAGGAGAGCAAAATCCAGTTTTCTATGAATTTTACATTTCTCTTTGGATATTTTCCATCCTTAGAGCACCACGATTTGCTATGATGAAAAATTCTCTGCCCTCAGACAGTGGGGTTATGGATAACCTATTTAAGATGTAAAGTGGGAGAGTGCGGTGCAAAATAGCAACAATTCTCTTGAAAGTTCATATTTCCCCCAAAAACTTGATGTTGGAAATTCTTCAAACCCTCAGAAAATTTAACATCCTTATCCTAGACATTAACCACCTCCAGTTGTATTTTAGGGTACATAATTGTTTAAAAGCATTTAGGAATTTTGTACCTATTTCCCATGAACTGTCTCTCAATCGAAATCCCTTCAGCATTTAGCTATAGCAGTGTACATTTTTTTAAAAAAATCAATAATTTATTAAGGATTTTTTTGTATTTAGTTTTTTTTTTTGCTTTTTATTTATGACCTTGTGGTTTAATACTCTTAGCTGTTCTCCTTTGTTGTTATTATTATTATTGTTAAATAAGAAAGGATGAAGAAGAGCGCGAGAGAGAAGGAATTGTTTTTTATTTATTTCTTTCAATGAGACTTAACATAAATGGAGGGGCGGGGCAGATGGACCGCAGAAAGAAAGAAACTAAGTTCAACTAACAACTAAATTTTTAATGGAAAACAATTGAAATTAGTTTTAATAAAACACAAACACAACAAAAACAAATGGTGGTTTTTGGTTTTTCTTTTATTTGTTGTTGTTTTTCATTTTTAATAGTTTTTATTATGTTTTTATTCTTTTTTGTTTTTTGGGAACACATATAGTTTTTGAATTGCAAAAAACAGAATGAAGATTTTGTTTTGTTCTCTTTACTCTTGTTTTTGTTTTTTTGATAAAGTTTTACAGCAGTTTTTATGTGAGAAGAGATAGAGAAAGAGAAGAGTGTGTGAGTGAGTGAGTGTTGTGTGGTGTAAGTTGAGAGAGAGTGGTGGGTGTTTTTTTTTAATTTCTTTGCTTTTTTTGTTGTTGTTGTTCAGTGTAACCAAAGCTTAATAAGCACAGTTGCAGTTTTGGTTGTTGTCTTGGATTTGGTTGTTTGGTTTGTTTACAAGAAGAAAAACAAAGTTGAGTTTTGTTATTAACAACGAAATAATTTCATGTCGCCTTTGTTGTTTTGTTAAATAAATATACATTTATATTGTAAATTATGCTCAATTTTGGTTTTCTCTTTAACGGTACTCTTCACTTTTTTATTGTTGTTTCTCAAGATGTGTGTGTATATTTGTCTCTGTTTTTTAATTACTCTTTAGTTTTCTTTACTTAACTTATTTTTTTTTGTTCTTTATTTGTTTGTTTTATAATAAATTACTTATTTTTTATTTATTTGTTTTTTTTTTGTTTGCTTTAAGTAAAGAGGATTAGTTTTTTGTTTTATTTTAATGCATCATTATTTTCTAGACTCCTTAGCTTGGTTTTCTTTTTTATTATTATTTTTATTTATTTATTTACTTGAAAATTTCCTAAATAATGCTTTAAATATTTAAAAATCTACAATATTTTATAAATCTTCTTCTTTATGGTTTTCTTTTTTTTTGTTTGTTTGTTATTAAGTAATTAGGTTTTTTGTTTTGTTCATCTCCTTCTCAAGGGTTGTTGTTCTGGGAAGGGGGGGCATTCGGGGTTTGTTCTTTCGCTTAAATTTATAACAAATTTAAACAAACAAAAAAATGTGGTTGTGTTTTCTTTTTGTTTTTTTTGTTTCCTATATTACTAAACAGCATTGATTTTCCATTTTGCCAAATAAACAAAATATGGGAAAAATTACAAATCAAATGAGGCCTTGGGAAGTCTGGGCATCCAGTTGTGTTTTGCTTGCTTGTTTTTTGGGGAAGGGGTAATAATACCAATTTTACATACATTTTCGGTGTTTGTTTTTTTAAGTACACAGTTAATAAATTTATTTTCCAACAAAATTTCGCTGTGCTGATTTTCGATATAATTTTTTATATTTTTTTTTACAAAAAACAACTTTTTTTTTAAAAAAATGCCACATTTTGTCCAGCTCGAAGTGGGATTTTTTGTCAAGAGTTCTTTCTTATTAATTACGAATATTTCCTCATGTGGCTGTCATAAGCCTGCTTTACATCGACACTAAATTACGGGTTTTACCAAGATTTCCCATTTGTTTGATGTACGATCAAAAGTAATAACAATTTAAATAACGCTTCTCGTAAAGATATGATCGGTGTAAATGAGGCTTTAGTCGTTAAACCAAAGACAACGGCGTTTTAAGTTGCTAACAGTTACAAAACACAGATGGCGCTGATTTTAAATACAATAGCCACTTGAAGTGAACTGTCAATAAACAAGTAAAGGGCGTTTTTTTATTGGGGTATAGAACTTTAAGTTGGCATCACTTTTTTAACTGGCGGTAATTTTGTCAGCTGTCAAGTGATTAATATTTAGTTTGGATTGCCATTTCATCATGAACAGGTTGACAAACATAACAACGCTTGCAAATCGTGCAAATTTATTTCGAAAGTAATGGTTCAGTTCGCGAAATTCCGCTCCGTCCATTTTATGGTCGACATAATCGTCCATCAGAGCAATTAATTCGGTTAACCATGGATCGTTTTTGCACTACGTTTACTATATGTGATAATACGCATACGCAGAGACGTCGAACAGTGTGCACCGAAAAAACAATTGCCGCTGTAGAGGACCCGAATTCGCCACCGTACACAGCAATTACAGCTTTGTCCATCAACTTTATGAAGGTTCTGTGCAAAGATCTTGGCTTGCAACCCTAAAAGATCCAGCTTGTGTAAGAATTAAAGCCGCGAGACCATGCAATGCGTCGTGATTATGGTGTATGGGCCGAAATTGAGATTCATCTCAATGCTGATTTTCATCACAAAATTTTGTTCAGTGGTGAGGCTCATTTTTGCTTGAATGGCTACGGCAACAAGCAAAATTTTCCGCATTTGTAGTGAAGAGTATCCACATGAGACCCTTGAGGAATCATTACATCCGCAAAAACTGACTGTTTGGTGTGCTCTATGGGCTGGTGGAGTCATTGGGCCATACTTCTTCCGAAATAATGCTAGAGAGTCAGTTACCGCTAATGGAGACCGGTGTAGAGCCATGATAACCGATGGCATGAATGTTGTGGTTCCAGCAAGACGGCGCAAAATGCCACACAGCGCACGTCACAATCGAATTATTGAAGGAAACATTCGATGAGCGCATAATTTCGCGGAATGGACCTGTCAATTGGCTACCAAGATTGTGTGATTTGAGACCATTGGATTATTTTCTTTGGGCATATGTGAAGTCGCTCGTCTACGCCAACATACCAGAAACGTTAGGGGACTTGGAAGCCAACATTCGTGGCATTATTGCTGACATACGGCCCCATATGCTCGAAAAAGTAGAATTGGCTTTATTCGAGCCAGCCGCGGCGGCAACATGCCCGAAATCATGTTTAAACATTAATGGCATACAATTTTCCTTCCAATAAAGCAAAATTAATGGACATTAAAACGATTTTCTTGTGTTTTATTTCAATTCGAAGTTCTATACCTCAATAAAAAAACACCCTTAACTTATTACATGGTAGAAGAATACAGGTAGCCGTATCGACACAGCTGCTATGACAATGAATTGTCAAATGAATTTTGGAATTGGATTTTTTGAATAATAAATTATTCAAATTTGTAAAAAATTCTAAAACTGCATATCTTTACTGCCACCAATTGGCGTCGTATAAGAAAACATTTACAAATCAACTTATTTTTGAAAAAAAAAAAAAATTGACATCTCAACGTTCCCAAGCGTTGATGCATCTACCTGTATTCTTCTACCATGACTTATTAGTTATGGAGAAATATAAACAATAATTAACCAAGAAGAAAGCGTGACAAAAAATCTCACCTCGAGCTTGACGAAGGTAAGCAATTTTTTTTCTAATACTGGAATTTAAACCAAAAACCATTTCGAAAATAATTAGCAAAAAAATGAATTCTGAAATTCAGCCAATTTTCTTGAGTGGGATTGATTGGATTTAGTTTTTTTGTTGTTCTTATTGTTTTTATGTTTTTTTTTCTTTCATTTCTTTAAATTCAAACAAAAACTCAACAAGGAAAAACCAAAGAAAAAAATCATAAAACCTAACATAATCTTTGTCTTCTGCTTCTTCTTCTTTCTGTATTGTTTTGTGGTTTCTTCTTCTTCTGCTTTTCTTTTTTAAATCTGTCTCAAAAATTAAGCATTTTTTATTTCAACTTTGTTTTTTTTTTGTTTGGTTTGTTATTAGTTTCTAAAGATTTTACTTAGTTTTTTTGCTATTTTTATAATTTCTTTTTTTTTTCATTTTAGGTCTGGTTTTTATTTATTTTTGTTATAATTTTTCTTCTTTTTGTTGTTGTAGTTTTTCTTTTTATTTATTTTGCATCTTTGGTTTTTGCTGTAATCTTTTCTGTATCCTTTTTTGCTTTTGTTTTATTTTCCATTTATTTTCGTTGCATTATTTTTTTGGATTTGAAATAATGCTTTGCGTTTAGGGTTTAGAATTTTTTGTCATTTTGTTTTTTTTTTTAATTTCTTACAGTTGGTTTTTGTTCTAATTTGTTTTTCTTATTTGTGTTTTGTTGTTTTCATTATTTTTTTCTCTTTTTTTTGTATTACTTAAAAACCTTCCATATTTGCTGTTGTTGTTGCTGCTGCTGCTGCTGCTGCTGTTGTTGATGTTGTAGTATTAATTATTTCATTGTTGCTATTCTGCTGCTGCTGCTGATGCTCTTTATGCTGTTGTTGTTGCTGTTCTGTATGCAGTTGTTGTTGCTTTAGCAATTGCAGATGTTCTTGATTAGTTGTTGTTGTTGGTGTTAGTTCTTAATCAACCATCAACTCGAAGTGGACGGATCCTCTCCTTTCTGAACGATCGTGATGAATATTACGAGCCCAGGCTTTGCATTCAATATTGATTAAGACACCAGCTGAAAAGGGAAAAAAGAAGAGAGAGAGATGTTAGATATTTGTCAACCAACAATTTATAAAACTGAATATCAAGGATTGAACATATATGCATATTTAAGTAGAATAGAGTTCTAATCCACTTAGTTTTGACATCTTTGCTGATTTTTCAATCCAGTACATTTTTGGCCCAATAGTCCCCTAAGAGGAAAATTAACAGTCCTCCCTTTTACTCGATTTAAAAAAAATACGGGAACATAACAATTATTGAATACGCTTGATAGGAACGCCCAACGCACATATTTAGCAATTGCGTGAAGATCGCATAGTGTGATACACCCTTGCAAATACACAGTCATTCATGGCGTTAATGACACGTTTACACTGAAGTTCTTTACAGTGGTTTCAATGTGGAGCCCACAGTAGAGAATACAGGTAAATGCATCAACGGTTGGGAATTTTTTTCTTTTAGGTCTCTTCATTATAAAATTTATATTTTGTAATTCTTCCTTAAATATGGGCGTACGCTGGCAAGATTTTTTAATTATTTTCAGACCAAATATTTTGTTGTTTTTACCCCTTTTAAACGGTATAAAAAGCAAGTAAGAATATAACCTATAACAAAAAACTAAAATATTAGTCTGATAAGACTTAATTGCGGAATGGTAGAATGAAACCAAATCAATCAAAAAAAAAAGTAGGAAGATTATGTTGTAATCTTTCATTTTTAGTAAAATTGGCATTAAATGTTTATGTTTAAGTCCAAGAACATATTAATAAATTTTGATCTTCTTGAGATATGGAATGTATAACTGTTTTTACGTGCCAAGAAACTCCGAAAATAAAATAACATTTATTATATTTGTAAAATACAAAAATAATTTAGATATGAAAATTGATTTTATTGGAAAAATGACAAGGTCGAGTTCGTCAGAAAAGGGTTGCCATATTCAATTTAGCAAATGAGTATACCTTTATCGTTTTGTGTTTGTTTCGAAATTATTCATTTGACAACATCTCATTGTCAAAATGTGAAATTTGACAAGGTAAGTTACAGAAAATACAGAGATGGATATTATTATTTCAAATTACTTTATCTTTTTTATTGTCTTTGTGACTTAGGCATCCAGGCAGTTGTAAGATTAAATGTGGGAATACATAAAGCGCTTATTTGGCTGGCTTCTTCGGAAATGAACAAAAAAGCAGAGGACCGAAAACGAACTAAGTCAACCTAAAACTCCTTTGCTCCTCTACGAAGAAGCCAGCCGATGTCTTAAGCCAGTCAAAAAAACTTTTTATGTACTTTCACCTTTACAGCCTCTTCCACAATATCGAAAGAACACGTTCGCACACCTTTTACACGACAAACAGCTGATTTTCGTCCTACAAAAATCCAACAGAATGAAAAATTGAATTTCAACGTAAGCATTTCATTTTGCGATTCAGAATTTTTTTCTTTCGCACGCATGCGAACACGAATGTCACTTGTGTGATTGCTGTCGTCTAATTATAATTCAGGGGAACTGTTTTAACATAAATATAGCTATGATTGAAAGTGGAAGAAAAAAGTTGAGTTAAAATAATAAATACAATCATAATAGGTCAATAACAAATATAAATTTTAATTCCAAATATAATTTATCTAACTTCAGCACGAAAAATCATTTACTACACATCTGCGGTCACTAGTTGATTGTATGGAAGAGAATCCTGAGTTCGCCAGAAGAGTGCCAATATTTGGAAGCAGCAGGCAAACACTTGAAGATCATTGGAAACAATTATGTTTTAAATTAAATACCGTAGAGGACCCAATTGTAGAGTGGTAAAAAGTTAGTCAAAAAACTCGATGGTATCTATTTGTCTGACCGACATTATTATTTACAGACTTGGGCTGACCTATGGTGCCGCACAAATAAGAATATAGCGGAAAATAAAAGCAGGTTGCAAGGAACAAGCGGTATATACCGAGTTGAATGTCTAACGGAGCTAGAAACAACAAACAAATTCGAAGCATCTCTTAAATGCCTCCGTGGTACATTTTGAAGGTCCTCAATATCATCCATAAAATATAGGGCAAGAAAAATATTATTTTTTTAAAAACAAAAATAAATTGAACACCATCTTTGGGAAACTCGGAATGTTATTTTGTTTGTTTATTTACAATTTGTTTGTTTACAACTGAGCTGTCAGTTCAGAAAGAGCCAGCCGACGTATCTGTCATTTTGGAGCCTTCTTTGTTGTTTAATTTCGCGATTTATTTTTCAAAGTCATAAATAACAACACTGAGTCACGTAAGGCTAAGCGAAAGAACGAACGAATGTTAGTGGAACGCATTCTGATACGAAAGTGAGTGACTAGCTTGCGTTCGCACAAAATATTCTTTCGATATCGCAGAACAAGCTGTAAAGGTGAAAGTAGATAAAGAGCCTTTTTATTGGCTTAAGTCATCGGCTGGCTTCTTCGTAGAGGAACAAAGAAGTGTTAGGTTGACTTAGTTCGACTAAGTTTTTTTTCAGAAGAAGCCAGCCGATGGCTTAAGCCCGTCAGAAAGCGTTGAATGTATTCCAATCATGTTCGAAGAATACAGGTAGATGATGCATCAACGCTTGGGAGCATTGTTATGTCAAAAAAATTTAAATGTTTTTTCAAAGATAAGTAGATTTTTATATTTTTTCTTAAACGACGTCATTCAGAGGTTATTATAATCCGCGCTTTTTCAACCATTTTTAAAAATGTAAATAATTTTTCATTCAACATTTTCAATCCCAAAATTGGTTTGAAAGTTAATTGTTCCAGCAACAGTGTCGATGCGTCTACCTATATTCTTCTACCATGATTCCAACCTTAAAGGTAAAATTATAAATAAAAATTTAGAAGTTCCTTGGAGTTTCCCTCAATTATTTTTCAATTTGTGATATTATTTTGTTTTAAAAAAATCTATTCCTATTCTTCATAATTTCTTTCTAATATCATAAAAATTCTTGACATTGGCTGTCTTTGAATAAAAAAATAGAGAGTGATAAAAACAATTTGCACAATATGTATATAGTAAAATACAACTCTGATTCAAGGCAATTTGTCTTGTGTAAACGCCAGTTAAAGCCCTTTTCATCTAACACAGAGAAATACGTTTTTTTTTCAAGCCTATCAACTTATTTCGCTGAGTCACATAAATGAGTCATTTGCAGTTAATGAAGGGAAATTCAATATTCCACAATTTTTTTTTCCACAAAAATTTCACCTGCTGCCCTTAATTCATGGAAGGGGTATAGATACTATATATACTAGTCATCTATAGAGAAAATGCGTCCTTACTTTTCGAAAGTAAAGCTAGAAGTGCTTCTTTTGTGAGGGGAGGCAAAACTATTTCGAGGTAAATAAGTTAACATAGTTTTCTGTTTCTGATACACACACATACAACCGAATTTCATTACACTTCGTCTGACATATGATATGAAAAGTTTTCCATTCCTTAACCATAGTTAAGAGTAACACAAAACGAATGACAGCTAGCAAAAGAAAATTTACTATTCAACCCCAATTCGCTGAATGGTGGTACGAGCTTTGTTAACTTATTTTGCAGTCAAATATGTGAAACATACATACATACATATGTATGAATATTGATTGATATGTAGCTACATATACATATGTAAGTGTGAATAATATGGAATGGAAATATACGATGTTTACACAGATGTATGTATGTAATTTATATGGATGTATGATTTAAAGAACTGACAAAAAATCTTTTTCGAGGACGATTTTCGCTATAAATTTGGATTTTATAGGAATTGTTTCGAAGCAAGTCTGTCTGCAAAAGGCGTATGAACTGAGCGAGAATATTAAAGTACGTTAAAATTTATGAAATCCAATTGATATCTTGAAAATGTTGATATGTCAAACATTTTAAAATGTTTATTCAAATATAACTACATTTTTATATGTTTTCTTATACGACGTCAAACGGTTATAAATATATGCGTTTTTCAAACATATTTACAAATTTGGATAATACTTTATAAACAATTTTCAAATCTAAAATTGGTTTGACAGTTCATTGTCCCATCACCTGTGTCGATGCGTCTACCTGTATTCTTCTACCATGTAAAATCTACTGTATTTATGAATACGACTTTCGTGACGTTATTACACTATGGAATTGACATTTGCAATAGAGTGGACTTAGTAGTCTAAACGTAACCTTACAAAACCTATACCAATGAAGAGTACAAAAGCTTTAAGTACGTTTAGATTTATGAAACCCACTCGATGTAAAATGTAAAATCCCTAGCGTTTACGTTAAATAACATCCACTGGATTTATGCATACGATACGTGACGTATACGCTATGGCATTGACCATGGTAAAAGAATAACGGTAGATGCATCAACGCTTGGGAACATTGACATGTCAAAAAATTTTTAAATGTTTCTTCGAAAATTAGTAGATTTGTATATGTTTTCCTATACGACGCCAATCGGAGGTTGTTATGATATGCATATTTTAACGATTTTTAAAAATGTGAATAATTTTTCAATAAACTATTTCAATTCCAAAATTGGTTTGACAGCTATGTCGATGCGATCGAATGGGTTTAGTGGTCTAAATGTGGCATTACAAAACGTATGCTAAAGGAGAGCACAACAGCTTTAAGTATGTTTAGATTTACGAAATTCACTCGATTTCAAATGTCAAATCAATAGTGTATACGTCAAATAAGATCCACGAGATTTATGAATACGATTTACGTGACGTACGTACGCTATGGCATTGACATTTGAAATCGAGTGGACTTCGTAGTGTAAACGTGGATGATCAAAAACCCTTAACCCTATTCAACCTCTTTAGAAGCGACAAACATTTTTGATCTCCTAAAGATAAAATACTCCAAGGGTACTAAGTGAAGTAGCAGCAATTGAAACTACCCCTGGATGGTAGCCAAGGCAATCGGTCAGTGCGAACTCATTTACATCGAACGTTTTCTTTTCGTAAAATGCTTTATTTACACCCTGTTCCACTA